CCAAGTCTCTGGTGTGTCCCTGTGCCAGCAGCACTGGCTGAATGCTCTGGTGAGAATCCACCTCAGTGTTTCCCATTGGAAAAGCTCTTGGGGAGTGTCATGGAGCCATTTTAGTCACTTTAGTTCCCATATCAGCACTGATTCCCTTGTTCCCACTTCCAAACTCCCTGAGCAGGAATCCCACTGCAGATCTCCTGCTGGAATTTTGCAGGATAAAACGGGATGTGATTTAGGGGTTGTTTTGCAGGCAAGGATTTTCTTCCTTGGCTCTGCTCCATTGGATCCCATCTCTGTCCCTGAATGTTGGTGCTGTTCCCTGGGGTGCTTTATCCCAGGATGACTGATCCCACATTTCTGTCCCCAGGCCATCGCACACTACGAGCAGGCTGCAGATTACTACAAGGGAGAGGAATCCAACAGGCAAGTCCTTGGGATCAGCGGGAAGGGCTGGAACAGGGATCTATCTCTGGAAGAGGGATCAATCCCAGACACTCCCACAACCAGCACACTTCTGATTTGGGCTATTTGAAGAGAATTCCTCTAAATCCCAGCTGTGGGTTCCCACTTCTCTCTCTGGGACGGGGTGCTGGGGCGTGGGCTGGTGAATTCCTGGGATTCAGGGCCTGATTTCTGGGATGTGGTTGCAGCTCAGCCAACAAATGTCTGCTGAAGGTGGCGGCCTATGCAGCGCAGCTGGAGCAGTACCAGAAAGCCATCGAGATCTACGAGCAGGTCAGGAGCTAAATCCCATGGGAATAGCACCTCTTCCCAAGGAAAAGGGCCCAGGGGTTGGCAAAACTGCCAGAATCAGGGAATTGTTTAGGCTGGAAAAGCTCTCTGAGGTCAGAGTCCCACTGTTCCCCCCGCATGGCCAAGTGTCCCCAAGTGCCACATCCATGATTTTCAGTGTTTCCAGGAAAAGGTTGGGAGAAATCCATAAAAATTCACTTTTGAATATATTTACAACTCCCTTTGACAGAAAATTCCCTCCTGGAATTTATCAGCTCTGCCTTTTGTTGGATATTTACTTGGGAATACCAACAGTGCTGCTTGGTGCTTCTAGAGGGTAAATTCTGGAGCAACTTTTTCCCAAATGGATTTGTTTTTTCATTTCCTTATCAACCAAGGATCAGCCTGTGGGATCTGACTTCCCTTGGGATGAGTTCAAAACCACCCTGCTTCCCAACAGCTTATTGGCATTTTTTCCCTGCCTTTTATTTCCAGCCCTGTGGCTCAGGGTGGAATAGGAATTGGTTTAATCCAGGCTTTCCTTTCCTGCCCCCTTTTTCCATGTTTTTTTGTCCAGGTGGGAACAAACACGATGGATAACCCTTTGCTCAAGTACAGCGCCAAAGAATATTTCTTCAAAGCTGCCCTGTGCCACTTCATCGTGGATGAGCTGAATGCCAAGGTCAGTTATCCCAGAATTCCAATTCCTCCTCACCAGCCTCGGCCAGCTGGGAGAAGCTCAGTGGGCTCACAGCTATTTCCCCAAAATCCCTGATCCCTCCTCTGCAGTGGCTGGAATTCTTGATGTGCCACTGTCACGTTGGATTCTTGGTGGATACTTTCCCAAGTTTGAGGATGGGAAGGCAAATGCTGGGAAAAAAAATAGGAATAGTGTGTGAAGGGAACTCTTCTCTCTTTCAGCTTGCGCTGGAGAAATATGAAGAAATGTTCCCGGCTTTCACAGATTCCCGGGAATGCAAGCTATTGAAAGTGAGTAACCAGGGGGCTTTCCCACTTTTCCAGGGGTTTTCTCTTTTATCCCAGTATTTTAAAGGACATCAGCCTCACTTTTCCCTGGATTTGGCCCAGACCCCCGTTTGTGGTGGGTGCTTTTCATGGTCTCTGCTCCCTGGGATGAGATGCTGGAATGGGAACATGCGGAATAGAGCATTCCCTAATTTTTCCTGGTGTTTTCCCAGAAACTGCTGGAAGCTCATGAGGAGCAGAACAGCGAGGCCTACACCGAGGCTGTGAGTACTCATGGGTGCACTTGGGAATGCTGCTTCTTCCTTTTCTTTTTTGGGATGCCTGTGCCCTGTTCAGTATTGGGGAACCTGCAGAGAGGGGACAGCTGCTCCAGCAAGGTCCCAGCTTCCTCCTTCAACATTCCTGGAGTTTCCTGGAGAGTTCAGATCCTGCCTGGGTTTGCTACAGCTCCTTTGGTGTTTGACAGGAGCTCAAAAAGCTTGGGTTGGATTTGGAGAGATTTTTCTCTGGACTGTGGCCCTGTGCCTTTTCCCTTTTTTTTCCTCTGCTTTCCCTTGTTTCCCCTCACTTCCCCTTTTTCTTTTTTGCCCTTCTTCCTTTTCAACCCCTTTCCTTTTTCCCTCTCCCCTCTTTCTTTCCTTTCCTCCTTTCTAGCCTCCTTTTCCCCCTTTTTCCTTCCCCCGCTTTTTCCTTTCCCTTTTTCCCCTTTCTGTTTTTCTTTTCCCTTTTTTTTCCTTTTTTTTCCTTTGTTTTCCCCCCACTTTTCCCTTGCATTTTTTCCCCCTTTGTCCTTGATTTTTTTTTTCCCCTCTTGTTTTTCCCTTCCTTTCCTCTTGGTTCTTTCCCTTTCTCCTCTTCCTTTTTTCCTCTTCTTCCCCTTTATTCTCCCTTCCCTTTTTTCCCCATCTTCCCCTTGCTTCACCTTTGCCCTTGTTTCCCCTTTTTTTTCCTTTTTCTTTATTTTCCCCTCCCTTTCCCCTTGTTTTTCCCCTCCTTTCCCTTTGTTGTCCTTCTTTGCACTCCCCCCCTCCCTTTTCTCTCCTTTTCCCCTCTCCTTCATTCCCAGGATGAGCCCATGTCTGCCACTCCCCCCTCCCCATCCCCGCCGCATTCCCGCCTCATTCCCTTTCCCGCCCGCTCCCTGATCCACGTTTTTTGCCGGTGCCAGGTGAAGGAATTCGACTCCATCTCGCGGCTGGATCAGTGGCTCACCACGATGCTGCTGCGCATCAAGAAAACCATCCAGGGCGAGGGCGACGGCGACCTCAAGTGACGCCCGCGGGCCCTTCCCGCCTCCAGCCGAGGACTTTTCGGGAATTCCCGACCCAATCCCGCGCTTTCTTTCGTCGCTTCCCACTCCCATGGCTCACTGTGTTTCTTTAGCCCCCGCTCTGTGGTGACGCTCCGGGCGGATGCCAGGCGGGAGAAGCCCTTGGAGCGGAATTCCTCCTTCTCCTCCTCGGGTTTGGTCCCGCTCATCCCGGTGCCTGCACTCGCAGCTCCCGGTTTTCCTGCTGTTCCGTTGATTCCAGCATGTAAATATTCCATCCAGGCCAGCACAGTACAAATAAGCGCTTCCAGCCCGTTGTGTTCCCATTTTCCCGTTCTCAAGTGTTGGATACACTTGGATTTGGGGGTCTGGAAGTGGTGCTAGGCAGAGGCTTTGGGAATTGGGAATATCCCGCACACCCCTACCACGCCACAGGCGTTCCAGGAGCCTAGGATCGGTGTCAGCCCTAGGTCCTGGTTGGTTTCCACTTTTCTTGGATTGATTTTCCACTTTAGTTCGTGGTGCATCCCCATCTCTCCACTTCCAAATAATTCCACCTGAGGAAGGATCTATTTTTGTACCTCACCCTCTGCGTGTGCCGGGCACAATCCCTAAATTCCAACTCCTCGGCTGCATGCAGGTGTTGATCCCACAGGAGCCTTGTTGGAATTCGGGTGGCAGGGGGGACACAGTTTGCTTGGGAAAAGTTGAAAAATTCCTGCAGGAATTGATGGGTATGTTGTTACGGAGAGAGGATTGAGCTGCCTGGTTTTTCAAGGATGCATCGGAGGCGTCGGGAACTTGTGCAATTTGTCACTCTTTGGGAAGAGTGAAGTCGGCAATTAAGGGCTGTTCTGGAGGCTCCAGGCAGCCCCAGCCCCTCTTTCCTCTGGAAAAGTCAGGTTGGAATGTTGGGCTTTGGATAGAGCTTGGCTCGTTGGGCTCTAAAGTTCTGAAAACCAAAAATCCCGATCCATGCCAAATTCTCCTTGGTTTGGTGTTTTCCCACCCTTCCCAATCTCTGTTTCCCACAGGTCCTTGTGTTCATCCCAAACATCCCAGCCAGATGGAAAAGCCCGAGCTTGGGAGGCAGCAGGGGGGATCTCCCAGCTCCAGGTTTGGAAGCACATAGAGTTCGTGCATTCCCATCCTTAGGAATGGCTTTATCAGGCGTCCAGCACTGTGGGAGCCGGGATGAGGGGAAGCACAGCTTGGGAGGCTCCACTTTTCCCGGTGTTTTTTCGGTTCTGTTGCCGTTCCCTGTGTCAGTGTTGTAGGACAGGAGGAGCAGGAGGGCTGTTACTCCATCCCTACACCTGGTAGTTGTGTGTGAGTAGCTCCAGCATGTCCTCTGCAGTATCCATGGTGAATTGTGACGGTTCCCAGGTGACAATTCCGCCACTCCCGCTGTATTCCCGCCCCACCTCCGTCACTCTCTACTCGGAAAACTTATTTAAGGAAATGGCCTTAGCAAGAATATCATGTTTGGTGTGACTGTACATGAATAAAGTGAAAATCATGGATGGAAGGAGGGAGAAGTGGTTCTTCTGGAAAACTCAAAAGGCTGGAGCATGGTGGGATGATGCAGGCTGGGAGGGGGTGTGATTCCTTCAATTCCTGTTTGGAATCATGGAATGGTTTGGGTGGGAAGGGACCTTAAAGCTCATCCTGATCCAGGGACACCTTCTGCTATCCTGACTTGCTCCAAACCCCGTGAATACTTCCAGGGATGGGGCAGCCACAGATTCTCTGGGAAAACTCTTCCAGGGCCTCCCCATCCTCACAGGAAAGAATTCCTTCCCAATAACCTACCTGAATTCTCCCTCTGTCACTAGGAAGCCATTCCCTCCCTGTTGTCCTGTCACTATAATTCCTGATGAAGGATCCCTCCCACTTTTCCTTGTAGGCCCCTTCTGAGGTTTCCAGGGAACCTTCTTTTCTCCAGGTGAACTTTCCAAGTCTGTCAATATCCCAAAGTGTCCCACTGGATAAGACTGAGTCGCTGGGAGGTCTCCATATTCCATATTTTAATAGGAACAGCTCAAACAAGTAACTCACTTCCGTATGTTCGCAGAGTACAAAACATTCCCCGTCTCCGGATCCAAGTGCTCAGCCCTTAAATATATCTACAACCCCTTTCCTTCCATTGGGAATAACTGAGCTCCAGCAGGAATAAATATCTCAAATATAACCTCTTGGAAATGTCCTCTGGTACAAAAATTCCCTTTTTTCTAGCTTAGAATTCCATGAGAACGCCTCCGCCATCCCTTTATCCCAAAAAATAGCTCTGTGCCACAGGTGGGGGGGTGTCTTTATTGCTGGATCTCACCAGGCTGCATTGTGCTTATCTTTCCCAAAGTTCTGCTCACAGCTTCAGCTGAGGAATTGCTGTGGGAATACTACAGGAACAGGTAAAGAAATGGGAAAAAGAATGGGGAAAGCTGTGGGTTTTTACACTGGGAAGCCCATCCCAAGGTTTGAAGCATCAAACCGTAGCACAGCGAGCTGCTGTTGCGAAAAAACAGGAGTCAGCCCAGCTGGAACAACACTCCAAGGCTCCTTCCCTGGCCAGGGGAAATCCCCCAAATCCCATTCCACTAAAATGGAGCAGGAAAAGCCTCTGAACTGAGCCCCTTCCTTTTCACAGTCTTCTAGGAGATGTCTTGTTCTCGTATTTGCCCAATTCCATGGGAGCTGGAGCAGCTGGAAGGTGAGAACTGACAGGATCCCAGTGCCAGACTGCTCCAGTTTCCCTGCAATTGTAAAATCAAGGAAGTAGCACTTGGCTGCCACCTGCCCCTTTTTGCTGCTCAGAGACTCCAAACTCCTGGAATGAAACTCCAAAGCTGCTCCCACTCTTTGGGATCTTTGGCAAAAGCAGAGGATACCAACATTTCCTGAAAAGCAAATTTAGCCAGACTTCTCCTGGATGAAATTCCACTGGGGAAAATGCAGCAAATGTCACAGAGAAACATCAGTTCTCCTGATTGTCCATGTGGCATTGAATTCCCTGGAAAACAAACCTGCACCAGCAAGGTACCTGAGCCGCCCCCTGAATGCGGAGGGGATCAACTCCCACAAATTCCCTGGTGTGGTGCCACCCTGCCCGACCATCAGGAGGTGGAGCTGGGGAAGGAATTTCCAGAGGAAAGCTGGAAATCCACTCTTTCCCAGCTTCCCACCACCAGCCTCCCTCAGGCCAAGGACTGTACAAGGGGTGCAGCCTAAGGAGCAGGAGGCAATCCCGAATTATTCCATGTTCACCAGGGCATGGAGCTGGGGCTGCCCAGAGTCCGTCTGTGTGTGGAGCACGGTGAGTTCTCCCAGCAGGGACTCCTGTGCTCCAGAGGCCTTACAGTCCGTGCTGGAATTCCCACTTCCCGGGACTGCTGCCAGGCTCTGGTAGGGGCTGTTCTCTGGGAAGGACAGCAGCTTTTCTGGGATTTTGGGGGACGCTTCGTATTCCTCATCGGGAAGCTCCGTTTTGTGCCCCTCGTCATTCTTTGTGGCTCCTTCCACGATGACGAGGAAGGACTTCCAGGGGGTGTTTTTATCATGGATCTGCAAAGGAATAACCAGGAGAGAGAAGGCTGGATATGGGATGACAAAGTTTGGATCAAGCTTGTATTTGATGTTGGTAGGAAAGGTTTTTGTTTTGGAGTCATGGAATGGTTTGGGTTGGAAGACCCATCCCCTTCCATGGACAGGGACACCTTCCCCTGCCTCAGGTTGCTCCAAGCCCCGGCCTGGGTTCGTCCAAACCCAACCTGGTTTTGAACAATTCCAGGAAAGCAGCACCCACAGGTTTTCTGGGGAAACCATGCCAGGGCCTTCCCAACCTCCCAGGGAACAATTCCTTCCAAACATCCCATCTAACCCCAATTTCCATCAGAAAAGGTTTTTGTTTTGGAGTCATGGAATGGTTTGGGTTGGAAGATTGGACCGTACAGATGATCCAATCCCACGCCCTGCCATGGACAGGAACACCTTCCCCTGTCTCAGGTTGCTCCAAGCCCTGTCCAACCCAGTTTTGAACAATTCCAGGAAAGCAGCACCCACAGATTTTCTGGGGAAACCATGCCAGGGCCTTCCCAACCTCCCAGGGAACAATTCCTTCCCAACATCCCACCTAACCCCAACTTCCATCAGTCGGAACTCCGCTCCGGGCTTATCCCATCAATCCCGTGGAGCGCGGCTCCGAGGAGCCGTGGCGGCGCTGAGCCGCCCGCCGCCGGGATGTGGGAATGCCGGGGCAGCGGGACCGTACCGAGGTGTGCCGGCGCAGCGTGGATTTGTCGGTGAAGGTCCTGCCGCAGGCGTTGCACATGAAGGGCTTGAAGATTGGACCGTACAGATGATCCAATCCCACGCCCTGCCATGGACAGGAACACCTTCCCCTGTCTCAGGTTGCTCCAAGCCCTGTCCAACCCAGTTTTGAACAATTCCAGGAAAGCAGCACCCACAGATTTTCTGGGGAAACCATGCCAGGGCCTTCCCAACCTCCCAGGGAACAATTCCTTCCAAACATCCCATCTAACCCCAATTTCCATCAGAAAAGGTTTTTGTTTTGGAGTCATGGAATGGTTTGGGTTGGAAGATTGGACCGTACAGATGATCCAATCCCACGCCCTGCCATGGACAGGAACACCTTCCCCTGTCTCAGGTTGCTCCAAGCCCTGTCCAACCCAGTTTTGAACAATTCCAGGAAAGCAGCACCCACAGATTTTCTGGGGAAACCATGCCAGGGCCTTCCCAACCTCCCAGGGAACAATTCCTTCCCAACATCCCACCTAACCCCAACTTCCATCAGTCGGAACTCCGCTCCGGGCTTATCCCATCAATCCCGTGGAGCGCGGCTCCGAGGAGCCGTGGCGGCGCTGAGCCGCCCGCCGCCGGGATGTGGGAATGCCGGGGCAGCGGGACCGTACCGAGGTGTGCCGGCGCAGCGTGGATTTGTCGGTGAAGGTCCTGCCGCAGGCGTTGCACATGAAGGGCTTCTCGCCGGTGTGGATGCGGTGGTGCCGCTGCAGCGCGTTCAGCTGCGTGAACTGCTTCCCACACTGGTCGCAGCAGTACGGCCGCTCCCCTGGGAATGCGGCATGGGAGACAGGCTGGGAACGCGGGCAGAGCACAGCTGCTGTGCCTCGGGAATGCCCAGCAACCCCTGGCTGACAGGGAATGGTCAGGGGAAAACAGCCTGGTGGTACAAATGTCACACTGCCACCCGTCTGGAGGCAGCAAATTCCTGCCAGCCCCATGAAGATGTGCTGCCACTCTGTTTTCCCATGGATTTTCCGTTAGAGACTCAAGTCCTGCCCAGAATCCAAGTATCCCTCCCCCTTATTCACTCTTCTCTGAGCAAGAACCCCTGAGCCACCCCCAGCCCTGGGATCGCTCTGGAGACACCAAAAACTCCCTGTTTGGAAACATATCCCATTTTCCTCCCTCCCTGGATAAACCTCTGGAGCTACACCAGAGCTCTCCATCACCAATGATCCTGGCAGCTTATTAAGGTATCTCCACAGCCTGTGGAAGCATTCCAGGGAATTGCTGTCACTCAGAACTAGTGGGAGAAGGGGAGAACATGACACATCAAGCACTGCACACGGGGAAAAACCTGGCTGAGAATTCCTTGCTGGAATATTGCAGAGGTGAGGGGTATGATCAAAGAAAAGGGACACATCCTACCTGTGTGGACTTTGATGTGCTGGTACAGGGAATTCCGCTGGGCAAAGGTCCGGAAGCAAACCTCACATTTGAAGGGTTTGGATCCCGTGTGGATGCGGTTGTGGTGTTTCAAGTATTCCTTGGAGGCAAAGCTCTTCCCACAGGTTTCACACATGAAAGGCCTTTCCCCTAAAAAAGGGGGAAAAGGAGGATTAAACCAGCAGAGCTTTGGGAATGCTCTTAAATATCCCACAGAAATTCCAGAGCATGTCCTCACTGTGGGGATATTTAAAGGTCACCCAGTTCCAAACCATTCCATGGGCAGGGACACCTTCCCCTACCCCAGGTTGCTCCAAGCCACTCCCAGCCTAGCCTGGAACAATTCCAGGGATGGGGAATCCACAGCTTCTTTAGGAAAACTGTTCCAGATCCTCACCACTCTCTCTTTGGGATTTCTTCCCAAAATCCAATTTAAATCAACCCTCCCTCAGCTTCAGATCACGGGATTATCCTTGGGAACCCTTCTCAGGCAAATCCCACCCAGGAGATGACAATATCTCGTTTTATCCATAAAAACGTGAACAAAAAGCATTTTCTGAAGGCAACATTTTCCCTGGAATGTTTGGGATTGGATTTTCCCGGTTTTCCAGCCTCACCTGTGTGGCAGCGCCTGTGGTAGATGAGCATGTGGTTCTGGGTGAAGCGGGCCCCACACTCATCACACACAAAGGGCTTCTCCCCTGTGTGGATCCTGCAAGGGAAAAGAAATGTTGGAACTCCAGGATGAGCCTGTCCCTCATTCCCATTGATCCCTACTGCTGGCTAAACACCCACATCCAAAACTGTTACGGTAAAAGCGGATTTTTCAAGGTGACATGCAGCCAAATCCCAAAAATTCTCTCCAGGTTGTGGCGCCAAATCCTTTGGGATGTGAGAGAAAGTTTCTCAGGGCGTTGGGATGGCTGCTTTTCCTGGAGAGGCACATCCACGTGGCAAAAATATATCCCCAAGGATGAGAAATCCCCACCACCGGCTGCCACCGCACCCGAAATTAAGGCAGCGTTGAGTTTCCAGTGTCCAAAATTCCTGAAAGGGCTCTGGGAATGGAAAAATATCAGGTTTAAACCCTCAGAGAGGATTTTTTCCCCTCATAAAAATGTCTCTGTCTGAAGACAGATAAAATTACTGATAAAATCAGGGTCAAGCCCCTCAGAGAAGATTTTTACTCTGATAAAAAGGTCTCTGTCATGAGACAAGCTAAAATAGCTAAAATGACTGATAAAATCAGGGTCAAGCCCCTCAGAGTTAATTTCTGCCCTGATAAAAACACCTTCAGAAAAACAAAACTGATAAAATCAGGCTCAACCCCTCAGAGAGGAATTTTTCCCCTGATCAAAATGTCTGCCCTGAGACACATGAAATAACTGATAAAATCAGGTGAAAGTCCATCAGAAATGATTTTTACCCTGGTAAAAAACACCCTGGGGCAGATAAAATAACTGAGAAAATCAGGCTAACCCCCTCAGAGATGATTTTTGCCCTCATGAAAAAGGCTCTGCCCTGAGACTGATAAAAAAAAGGGATAAAATTAGGTTAAACCCCTCAGAATCTACTTCTGCCCTGATAAAAATGCCCTCAGAAAGATAAAATTGATAAAATCAGGTTAAAACCCCTCAGGGATGATTTTTTCCCCAATAAAAAGAGCCTGGGACAGATAAAACCCAGCAGGTGCTGGATCAGCTCTGTGTGGGTGACATCGGTGACGCGCCACCTCCTCCTGTTCCCAGATCCATTGTTTTCCCTACTTCGCCCCCAAATCCGTCATTTTCCTATTGAAAACCCTGCCAAATCCTTCCCAAATATTTCCACACTTGTCGTCGTATTGAGTCTAAGGATGTGCTGGAGGAATCCCACCTGGATTTTCCTGCAGCACAGGCCTGGCCCATGCAGGATATGAGGAGAAAACAAGGATTGGGGAGGCCCTGAGGGCCGAACCCTGTATCAGGAGAAAACAGGGATCTGGGAGGCCCTGAGGGCTGCACCCCATGTAAGAACAGGGATTTGGGAGGCCCTGAAAGAGAAAGCCAGGATTTGGGAGGCCCTGAGGACTGGATCCCATCTGAGGAGAAAACAGGGATTTGGGAGGCCCTGAAAGAGAAAACAGGAATTTGGGAGGCCTTGAAAGAGACAACAGGGATTGTGGAAGCCCCAAGGGCTGCACCCCACATGAAAACTGGAATTTGGGAGGCCCTGAGCGCTGAACCCTGTATCAGGCGAAAACAGCGATTTGGGAGGTCCTGAAAGAGAAAACAGGGATTTGGGGGGCCCTGAAAGAGAAAACAGGGATTGGGGAGGTTCTGAAGGCTGCACCCCATATGAAAACAGGGATTTGGGAGGCCCCGAAAGAGAAAACAGGGATGTGGGAGGCCCTGAAAGAGAAAACAGGGATTTGGAAGGCTCTGAGGGCTGCATCCCATATGAGGAGAAAACAGGGATTTAGGAGGCCTTGAAAGAGAAAAGAGGAATTTGGGAGGCCCTGAGGGCCTGTATTAGGCAAAAACAGCGATTTGGGAGGCCCTGAAAGAGAAAACAGGGATTTGGGAGGCTCTGAGGACTGGACTGCATTTGAGGACAAAACAAGGATTTGGGAGGTCCTGAAAGAGAAAACAGGGACTGGGGAGACTCTGAGGGCTGAACCCCATTGAGGAGAAAACAGGGATTTGGGAGGCCCTGAGGACTGGACGACATTTGAAGAGAAAACAGGGATTTCGGAGGCCCTGAAGGAGCAAACAGAGATTTGGGATCCTCTGAAGGCTGCACCCCGTTTGAGGGGAAAACAGGGACGTACCCGACCCCGAGGGCCGCACCTGGAGCCCGGGGAAAGCCGCTCCTACCTCATGTGCGTTTTCAGCGCCGAGGGCTGGGAGAACTTGGCCTGGCACTCGGGGCAGCCGTAGGGCTTGTGTCCCGTGTGCGTCCTCTCGTGCAGCCGCAGCGCCGTCCTGGAGCTGAGCCCCTTGCCGCACTGGTGGCACTGGTGGCGCTGGCCGCCGCCCTCGTGCACCTGCAGCACGTGCCTCTTGACGTCCTTCTTCCTCTTGAAGCGCTTGGCGCACAGCTCGCAGGGGAAGCGGCGCTCGCTGCTGTGCACGTGCCGCTGGTGGCTGCGCAGGTTGCAGCGGTTGGCGAAGGTCTGCGCGCACGTCTCGCAGCGGAACTCCAGCGCCGAGGCGATGCCGTGGCTCTGCTGGATGTGCTTCAGGAAGCTCTTCTCGTACAGGAACTCCTTCTGGCACGTGCCGCACTTGAAGGCGCCGCCACGCTTCTTTCTGTCCTCCTCGCCCTTGGGGAGGTTGTCCGGGGAGGTCTCCTCGGGTTTGCCGGAGTTCTCCTCCTGCTCCCGCTCTCCCTCCTCGCCCTTGGGCTGCTTTTCCTCCTCGGCGTTCTGCTGCTGCTCCCGCAGCCTCCGGGTGTATTTTTTCTTCGGGATCTCCACGAACACCTTCCTGCCGGCCAGCCGCCCGCTGGCCCTGCGGATCTTGGCGTAAGGAGCCTTCAGCACTTCCTTCTTTTTGTCCACCTTCTCCTTGGACTTGGCGGCCGGCCCCTCGGGAGACGCTCCGCGGCCGGGCGCGGCGACGGGACAACCCGTAGAGTCCCGCTCGGCCTTCGCCGCGGGCACGGCGCTGGGGCGGGCGGCGCTCTCCTCCTCGGAATTCTGCGACTCCGAGAAGCTCTGCAGCTCCAGCAGCACGGACTCCAGCATCTGCTTCTTCAGCTGGAAGCAAGTCTCGGAGAGATCCAGGCACTTGAGCTTCTCGGCGATCTCCAGCATGCGCTGCACCCTGTCCTCCTCCACCTCCACGCGCGCCGTGTAGACGAACTCCAGGAAGGAGGCGAAATCCGCCACCTGCACCTCGTTGAGGAACACGTTGCTGCGGGGGCCGTCCACGGGCTTCTCGTTGAGGAAAACCTCCTTGAAGAACTTGCTGGTGGCGGCCAGCACGGCCTTGTGCGCCGGGAACTCGGCGCGCACGCCCTGGTACTCCACGCTGACGGTGACGTCGCACAGGTGGCCCAGCAGCCGCAGCTGCTGCATCTCGTTCAGCAGGTTGATGGGGGAGGATTTGGATTCCAGCAGCACGGGGTTGCTCTCCATCTTCCCTCTCTCCCTGCCAACGAGACCCCCCAACGTCAGCCGGCGGGACGCCGCGGGTTTGCGGCGGCCGGGAGTTTCGTGGAATCGCGGGGGTTGGGAAGAGCTCCGAGGTGGTTTCATCCAACCTCGGACGGATCTCCAGCGCCTCAAGGAAACCATGAAGCGAATCTGAGCCTAAATCCCAGCCCCAGTTTTCCATGAAACCCTCTGGGTCAGGGATGGATCAAACAGAGCTGGCACCCGGAATTAAGGAATGATTCCTGGCCTCACCAGGCAATAATAATAAAAGGAAGGCAAGACTAAGCAAAAGTTCACTGCAGTCCTAAAAACCTGCCTGAAAATGCTTTCCACATAAAATTCCAAGCTCTTGTGTGATGGATAATGGTACTCACACAGTGAAAATCCCCAAAATGATGGGAGCTCCCCAAAATGGACTCACAGCCTGCACATTTTGAAGGCCCATTTCCAGCCTTCCATCGGGCCCTATTTCTCAGGAATGTTTGAAGCTGCTCCAAAGCTTGTAAAAAGCGTGGAAGTTTTGGGGTGTTTTCCCCAATATCTAACCCCAGGACAAACCAGGTTTCTATGGACTTCAAGGTGCTCTGAGGAATCTGTTGAGTCTAACCCTGTTCCTACCGCAATCTGAGGAATTTCTTTCCATGTCCTGGGAATTAAGTGGTGTCCCACCCACTGCTTTATAAACAACCGGTGACACCAAAGTGCCACTTTTTTTACCCCAATAAAATGATTTTCAACTACTTCTCCTGTTATTTCACAACTACCTCTCCAATTCCATTTGAGCACTGTCCATTTCTCAGGAATACCTCCCCTTCCAGAGGCAAAACTGGCTGGAAAGAGGCAAAAAGTTCCAGCCCAAAGGGGAATGGGGAGAGAATTCCCAGGCGGCTGCTGCTGAAGCCATGGAGAACCCCACAGTGCCCACTTCCAATCCCATTTGCAAAGGACCCTGGATCACATGGAAGTGCTGGGGTGGGGAAAAACACGGGGGAAAAACACGGGAGAGGAAAGGGGGGAAACAAGGAGGGGAAGGGGGGGGCGAAGAAAAGAGAAGGGAAAAGAACGGAGGGAAAGAGGAGAGGAAAAAAGGGGGAAAAAGAGGAGGAGAGGGGGGGAATAAGGGGGAAAGAGGGGAGAAAAAGGCGGCGGAGGGGCCAGCCCGCCATGGCCCCCGCACTCACGGCTGCCGGCCCGTTCCCGGTTTGTTCCCGGTTCGTTCCCGGCCGCCGCTCCCGCTCAGCCCCGGGCGCGGCCGGAAGCGCTGACGAACCACGACCCCGGCGGAGGCGCGCCGGAAGTGACGTCGCGAGGCGCGCCGTCTGTTGCTAGGCAACGCGGCCTACCGCGCCCCCGGCTTTGGCATTCCCAAATCCCGGCGTTTTCCCCTGGGAAATCCGGGCGAATGAAGGAGGGACGGGCTGGGCGGCACTGGCAGCTTTATTAAAGGAGGAATTGGTGATTTACAGCGGCGGCACCGCGCTGTGTTTATATAAACATACACCCCGCCCTGCCCGTTCCCAATGGGATGCTCCCACAGCTTTGGGAAAAACAAACCTCTGGACAGATGCAAACATTTCAGTGGAATAAACACCCACATGAGGAATTACCCCTTTGGCACCTGCAATGCAGCTCCCGAGGCAGCTGCAGTGACCATTGGGAATGACTCCCTGCATTCCAAAGGATAACTCCCACCATTCTGCCTCCAACCGCCCGTTTTTGGGTCTAAACCTGACTTTATAAGTACAAAAGGGAGGGGTCAGTGTCCCCGGTGTCCCCAAGCCCAGGTGTCTCGTGTGCTGCTGCTGCTTTAGCACTTCCTGGTTTATAAAGTTTCCCGTGGTCAACTGTCCCAATTTCCAGCACGGGATCCCCTCCCGGATGCGCTTCCGCTAAAGTCTCTATTTTGGACCAATTGTGGTCTTTTTTTTGTGTGAGGTCGATCAAGAAGCTTCTCCAGTGAGCATTCCGGTCATGGATCTGGGAAAAAAGAGGGAGTGGGACAGGAAAACAGTTAGATCTGCCAAATGTTTTACTTCATCCACAGCTACATCCAACAATTTTGGGATAACTCCATGATCCTGCGCTCCAAGTCTCAACTCAAACACAAACAAGGCTCTTTTGCCAAATCCGTGCTGAATTTCTGGCTCTGCTGCCATGGAATGCATCCAAAATCAGCTGGAATTTCAGCACACAGGCACAATATTGACTTGGAGCTGGAAGGGAACCTCCTGTTCTGTCTGCGCTGTCACTTCCAGGACCTGGAGGTCGCTGGGAAGAGCTGAGCTCAGCGTTTTCCAGCTGGGAATGTGTAAATTTCTGTTAACGTGCTGCACGAGGCTGGATAAACCATGGTGTTACGAGGCTGGAATGAGGGCTAAAGCATTGGAGACTCTGCATTAATCCATAAAAAATCTAAAATCCCGAGTCTTTCCCCAAACATTTGCACGGAATCTTTTAGAGGAAAAGATCTTGGAGATGACGACCATCGGGAAGTGCTGTATCCAGCCACTTGCAGGGATGGTGACCATCGGGAAGTGCTGTATCCAGCCACTTGCAGGGATGGTGACCATGGGAAGTGCTGTATCCAGCCACTTGCAGGGATGGTGACCATCGGGAAGTGGTGTATCCAGCCACTTCCAGGGATGGTAACCATCGGGGAGTGCTGTATCCAGTCACTTCCAGGGATGGTGACCATCGGGAAGTGGTGTATCCAGCCACTTCCAGGGATGGTAACCATCGGGGAGTGCTGTATCCAGCCACTTCCAGGGATGGTGACCCTTCCCCTAGGGCCGGGAGATGACAGGACTGGCAGCCAGCACCGGGAGCTGCCGTGCCGTCGGAGCAAAACCCCGCAAAGCTCAGGAAGAGATTTTAAGATGGCGTCTCACCGCCCTGCCCTGAAACTCATCCCTAGCACAGCCCCTCTGGAGGGCTGGAAATTCCCGCTGCCAGGGTGACTCTGGCGGCCTGGAGGTGGCCCTGAGGATGGGGACGATCCCGGGGGATGCCCTACCGCCGCGTGCCGGCGCAGGGTGGACATGTCGGTGAAGGCCCTCTCGCAGGCCCGGCACTTGTAGGGCTTCTCGCCGGTGTGGATGCGCTGGTGCCGCCGCAGAGCTCCCTGCTGCGTGAAGGCCTTCCCACACTGCTCGCAGAAATAAGGACGTGTCTCTGGGAATAACAGCGCCAGCAAACACGGGGTTAGGGGCACTCAGGAGAGAGCAGCCGGCTCTTGCCTGGAAGTGTCCAAGGATGGAAGGGGCTTGGAGCAACCTGGGAAAGTGGAGGGTGTCCATGGCAGGGGGGGAATGAGATGACCCCTAAGGTCCCTTCCAATCCCCACCATTCCATGATAAATTATTTCCCAATACCTGTAGCCAAGGCTACACCACCCTCTACTCCAAATTCCTTCAGCTGCACAATCCAGGCTCAGTTTTCTAGGACGCCCCCATGAGCCACAGTCAGGATGAGCTCTGCTTTCCAACGGAATGTCCATCCTTGGAGGTGTCCAAGGAATGCCTGGACACGGCACTCATTTCCCAATACCTGTAGTCAAGGCTACAGCCATCCTCTACTCTAAATTCCTTCAGCTGCACAATCCAGGCCTCAGTTTTCTAGGATACCACGCAACGCCCCCATGAGCCATGGTCAGGAGGAGCTCTGCTTCCCAACGGAATGTCCATCCTTGGAGGTGTCCAAGGAATGCCTGGACACGGCACACAGTGCTCTGAGCTGGTGACAAAGTGGGGATTGGGCACAGCTTGGACTCAATGACCTTGGAGCTCTTTTCCAACCTCAATGATTCTGGGATCCCCTAATTCAGCAATGGGATGGAATTGGAATGTCCCCATTCACACTGGGAGGTACCACAAAGCCACCATTCCTTTTTCCAGCCTTGGAATTACCTGCATGGACGTTGCTGTGCTGGGCCAGGGAGGCTCTGAGTCCGAAGGCTTTCCCACAAACCTCACACCTGTAGGGTTTGGCTCCCAGGTGACAGCGCTTGTGGCACTTCAGGTACTCGTTGGTGGCAAAGTGCTTCCCGCACACGTCACACCTGAAGAGCCGCTCTCCTGAGGGAACAGAAACCGGATGTCGGGAATTCTCCCAGGGGAATTTTGTCCTTCAGAGTCAGTCTACAAATCACAGAACCCAGGCTGGAAAAGACCTCCAAGGTCACTGAATCCAACATGCGCCCAATCCCCACCTTGGCAACCAGTGCCACATCCAGCTGTCCCCTGAACACATCCAGGCACGGGGACTCCATCCCATTCCAATGCCTGATAACCCTTTCCATGAAGGAATTCTTCCTGATATCCAACCTGAACCTCCCCTGGCACCACTTGAGGACATTCCTCTCATCCTATCACTTATTCCTTTGGAGCACAGCCCAAATTCCCCCTGGCTCCTGTCAGGGAATTGTGGAAAGCAACAAAGTCCCTCCGGAGTCTCCTTTTTTCCAGGTTAAAAGTCCTTCTATCCCTATGAATTCCTTCCTGGTACTTGGATACTCTTCCATTAATTACAAAAAAAAATTTTAAAAGGGCATTTATTTCATATCTCAGCAATAAAACAGGAAAGGCATGGGAAAACCACCTGGAATATTTAATTCCCACCTGTGTGTGTCCTTTTGTGGCCGGTGAGTTTTCCTTTGTCGGCAAAGGAAGCGCCGCAGTCCTCACAAATGTAGGGCTTCTCCCCAGTGTGGGATCTAATGGAGAGAAAACACCAAAGATTAGTAATTAATAAGGTCTTGATCCCTAAAATAATGGATTTGAAACAATGTTTGGGTTTTAAATGTAGTAGGAAAAGGAAATTCTGCTCCCTCAGAAAACTGAGTGTTTCCAGGTACAGGCGCTACACTCCAGGTGTAAAACTCCCATTTAAAATTTACATTTTCCTCACTTTCAGGCCCTGAAAAATCCATCTTTTTTTCCCAGACACCTCAGAGCATGGGAAAGGAGAAAAAAGGGAAAATAACAGAAAATTACAGAGAATCACAAAAATCTGAGCGTAATGTTTGGTCTTAACTTATTCCAACCCGAACAGGACGATGTCCAAAATCATTCCTGATTTTGAGCTGTCAGGACAAAGGATTATCATCAATCTTGCTCTGGAGAAAGATGGGAAATTCCATGGGATGATTCACCCTCTCCTGGGAGAAGGCACATCCACACAGACATCACCAGGGAGCAACTCATCCCGTCAAGCTCCAGCTGAGCGGCGCGGATTTGGAGCTGCACACGGAGATGAAATCCCATGGCAATTCCTTGCTCTGAGAGCGAGGATGGCTCAGGATCTGTTTCTCCAGGATGCCTGACTCACTCTTCGTCACTGAGGGCCATCGTGGGATTTTATAGCCTGTCCCAAATGACGGATATTCCGTGCAAGTTTGGACAGGGTATCCATGTCGAAATCCCGACCCTGAGAAATGCAACACGGAGCCAAAGCCTTTGCGTAAGGGAATTAATCACGGATCCCACTGCACTCGATATCCTGGCGTTCCTGCTCTAAGGGACAAAGAACAGGCATGGCTGGAATCTGACCTGGTATGGATCTTGAGCTGGGAAGGCTGAGCAAACCTGGAGTGACACACGCCGCACTCATAGGGCTTCTCGCCGGTGTGCGTCCGCATGTGGAACACCAGCGCCGTGCGGGAGCTCAGGATCTTCCCGCACACGGAGCACAGCGGCCGCTTGGCCCTGCCCTCGTGCTTCCGCATGGAGTGAGTCCTCACATCCCGCTTCCTTTTGAAGGTGGCCTGGCAGAGGCTGCAGGAGAACCTCCTCTCCTCGCTGTGCACGCAGGCACGGTGCTCCTTCCAGCTGGTGTAGCTGGCGAAGGCCTTGCTGCACACCTCGCAGCGGTACACCTTGCCGGGCAGGCTCTGGTGCACATCCCGGCAGTGATCCACGTATTTTTTCCGGGAAACAAACTGCTCCTGGCACTTGTCGCAGTGGATCACGTAGATGGATTTCTTGTTGGCCACACTTTTACTGGCCTTCTTTAGCTTAAACCCCGGTTCAGGTTCTTTGCTTTCCTTCTCTGTTGAGGCGTCATCCTCCTCCTCCTCAGAACATTCCTCGTTGTCCCTGCTTCCTTCAACTTCCGAGTATCCTGTGTCATAGCCCCCCTGCTCCTCACCCTTCACACTCATTCCACCTTCATCTTCATTCCCTCCTTCAGCTTCCTGGGATTCCTCTTGCTCCTTGCTCCTTTCTGCTTCAGCAACAGATGAACTCCCGGCATCTCCCTCACACCCTGAGGTTTCCGGTGTCCCATCCCAAGTCTCTG